GAGTGAGAGAGTGAGTCAGTGAGACAGTGAGTGAATGAGTGAGTGAATGAGAGTGAGTGAGAGTGAGTCAGTGAATGAGAGTGAGTCAGTGAGAGTCAGTGAATGAGAGTGAGTCAGTGAATGAGAGTGCGTGAGTGAGACAGTGAGTGAGTGAGAGAGTGAGTGAGTGAGAGTGAGTGAGTGAGTGACTGAATGAGAGTGAGTGAGTGAGAGTCGACCCTGTGCATCTTGTTTGCGTCTGTCTCTCTCAGGATTCCTCCTCTCGCCCTTCCTGCCTGTCTCCCTCTCCTTGTCCCTCACCATTTCTGCCCCATAATCCCCATCTCTGCATGTCTCCCTGCCCCTGCCCCAGGAGTGAGAGTCCTGCTACACACACACACATATCCCCCAGGGTGCTCCCTTTACTTGAGTGTCTCTCCGGACATCTGCAGGTTGTAATTCCTCTCCGGCTCTGGGAGGCTGTGGAAGTCCACAAGACACGGGTGCAGCCTCTTATTGTCATCCCGAACCTGCAGAGACCCAGAGTCCCAGCTTCAGGTGCCCTGGCCACCTCCACTCCAACCCCAAAGAACCCTTGGTGCCCCTGAGTCCCGCCACCAGCCACCTGTCCCTCCCCCCACCCCCTTCCCTGCTTCCCCGAGTCTAGCCTGACTCCATCCTGCTGCAGCAGCCCCTCACCAGGCCATAGGTCCAGCCCTGCTCGATGCGAGTCAGGGCCCAGAGCTCATGGATGTTCTCGGCCAGCTTCTCCCGGATGCGTTCCAGATGGGGAGGCAGGACAATCTGGAGTCAGGGGGACAGGCAGGAGGTCGCTCAGAGTCTTCCACCCTGACCTTGTGACCCCGCTCCCAAGGACGCCTGTGAGGTCGGGAAAGATCCTCCCAGAAGCCCCTTTTGACCTTTCCTGGGGTTCCAAAGCCCAACCCCCAGGGCCAGGGCAAGCTGGGCCACATTTAGCTCAACTGGGATGTAAGCATGATCTGGGGGTAAGTCTGTCTCTACTGCTGAGTGGGCACCCCGTGAGAGCAGGGCCTGGAGCCACCTCTGTCCCCTCCCTGTCCCCTAACCCAGAGGAGCTGCTGAGTGAATGAAGGAAGGAAGCCCTTCCTTTTTCTGTCTGAAACTCATCACGATAGTTTGCCCATTAAAATGTCATTGAAGCATAATCATCAGTTGCTGATGCATATGGATGTGCTGGGGTTCTGTGGGGAAGAGATTATGATGATGATGATGGTTATATGAAAGAGAGCAGCGGGCTGGGAGGGGGGCCGGGGACCAGGTCGGGAGGCTAGCAGGCGACAGAGTGGGGAGAGAGACATCCAGGGCGATAGTCGGGAACAGCTGCGTTGAATGTGTGCTGCCTGCTCAGGACTGTGCTAAACTCTTGACATGTTTTCATTCCTCTCCTCTGTCCACAGGAACGCCATGAGGAAACCGAGGCGGGGAGGTACAGTCACGTGCCCAGGGCCACGCGGCTGAAAAACCCAACCTCGACCAGCAGGATCTGAAAGGGAACCTTTCAGCCCCTCTCACGAGGACCCGCCTGGAGAGAAAGTGGGGTATGTGGAGTGGGGGAGGCCTGGCAGGGAAGGGGGGGTGTCCCAGAAAGAAGTTCATGGTGCACTGGGCCAGATCATGGGCCTTGGAATCAGAGTGCTGGGGGTTCATGTCTGCAGTGGGATTGCATAGCTACAAACACCCCTTGAGCCTTACTTTCTTCAACAATACGTTGGGGGCTTCTGCCTACAGTCCGCTTTTTAAAAATTTTTATTAAAAGGTCACTTTATTGGGGGCTCTTACAACTTTTAGTACAATCCATACATCGATTGCATCAGGCATATTTGTACATTCTTTTCCAGACATTTACTTTCTATTGAGCCCTTGGTATCAGCTCCTCTTTTTTCCCCTGTCCCCCCCCCCTCGTGAGCCCTTGATAGATTATAAACTTTTACCATTTTCATATCTCACACTGACCGCTGTCTCCCTTCCCCCAGGGTTTCTGTTGTTCGTCCCCCTAAAGGGGGGCGTGGGGGTGTGGTTGTGTTTCGATCATTACGATCAGTCCCCCCTTCCGCCCCTCCTCTCCCCTCCCTTCTCCCTACCCTTCTGGCATTGCTGTTCCCACTCCTGTTCCTGGATTCCGTGTGTGGTGAGCTCCCATCTCTTATCTGTGCCTGTGCACATGCTCCGGTCTCGTCTGAATTGAGAAGCAGCACTGGGGTCATGATAGTGGGGGCTGAGGACACCTCAAGGACCCAGCGGAACAGTGTGTGCATGGGTGCTTCACTGCACCCTGGGTGACTCATCCCTTCCCCCTACCGCCCTCTTTTTCTGGGGCTACATCTGATTCTGCATTTGGAACCTTGAGAGTCTCCGTTCCCTCCTCTGTGCCTCAATGTCCCCTCCTGTGAACCAACGGTTCTCATTTTCCATCTCAGCTCCCCACCTCTCTGATCCCTAAGCAAGCTCCCTCACCAGGAAACCACCTAGGACAGACCGTAAGTACCTGGATGGTGTCAACGGGGCAGGGCACGAAGTCGGTGTGTGAGAGGCAGCGGCTGGGGCCCACCAGGTGAGCACCCCGAGGTCCCTCCCGCCGATACTCCTTGATCGGCTGGAGATGGAGTCTCTCTCGTGGGAGCACAGCCTCATGGCATGGGGCGTAGCCAGGTGGAGGGAGGAACTTGAATTCACCGTGGCGACCACCCAGGAGGAACCGGACCCTAGGAGAGGACCAGGAATGGGGAGCTTACACAGTCACCAGAGCAGTCCTGAGGCTACTGGAGCATTGTGGAGAGACCTGAGGGGACTGGGAAGTCAGAGGGTTAGAGGGGTCATGAGCAGAAAACTCTAGGGTCAAGAGAATATCCTAATGGAAAGCCTGAGGGCAGTGGAGAGTCTTTGTGGGGTGGAACAGGGCAGAGTGGGGTGTGGAGGACTTAGGGAAGGAGCGTCCACCCAGCTCAGAGAAGAGTGAAGATGACCGCAAGGCCATGGGAAGGTCTTTGGAAGGAGGCTTAGAGTCAAGTTGAAGATTGTGAAAGGTTTTGGGAAAGCCAAGAAGGCCACGTGGACATCAACAAGAGCCTGAAAGAATGATGAGCTAACCACCTGAGTTAGTTAATTGTGCCAGCCTGGCCGATAATCAGGTGTGGGGCTAATTGAAAGGCGGAGGGATAAAGGGGTGGTGAGCTTTGCCTTTCTAGTTCTCGGGTCTCTTGTTTTGTGATGGTTGCACCGGGTGCAGCTGCCTTACCAGTTCCCTGCTTCAGCTTGCAAGATTGACTTCCTATAAGACATCCCCTAGGAGAAGCCGCATGGACCTATCCCGATGCAGCCCTGGGTGCTGGAGCAGCCCTGTGGAGACCCCTGCTAGTGCTGAGACGCTTACACGTTCACTGACTCAGCTTTCCTCCTGCAGTTGGCATCATTGCCTCTGTTTTGTGAGGTGGAGGACTTTGTGGACTGGTGTTGGGTTAATGGGTTAATGTTGGACTTGTGGGCTTGGGCAGCATTGGGTTGGGATGTTTTCGTGATGCACCTTTTCTTTACATAAAACTCTCTCTTATACATGAGTTGCTGTGGATTTGTTTCTCCAAAGTACCCAGACTCACACACCACCATTACCACCGAATGGAGACTGAGAAGTCACCCGGAGAGCCTGAGGCCATTGGGAAAGGCCTGGGTCAATGATAGGTCTGTTAAACATAGCTGGGGGGAAACAGGTTTTTGAAACAACATAGCTGGGGTGAGTGAGTGGTCCCTTGGAGAGTCAGGGGCTATAGACAGGCCCTGGGTGATGCTGGAGTCATGGAGGGGTGGTGAGAAAAGCATGGGTCTTGGTGAGACTCCAAAGTCACTGAGATGTCTTTAGAGAGTCCAGGTTCTTGGAAAGACACAGAAATGAAGTCTGGACTCTGTTGGAAGTTCAGGGAGGAGCTGGGGTCATTATCAGATCACTGCCAAATTTGGAAGTCATTTGGAGGTCGTTCGAGTCTCAGGAAGAGTCTGGGCTCATTGGGAGGTCCCTGGAAAAGTCTGGGGTCATTAGATGGTCCATGTGAAGTTCTGGGGTTACATGGAGGCTGTTGGAAGGACACAGGGTGGGGGGATTTGGTTGGAAGGGCTAGAATCCTGGGGAGACCATTGGAACCTTCCTGTAGGGTTCTGGTTCCCAGGAAGGGATCAGGGAAGCTGTCTCAGATCCCTGCCAGGAGTCGTGGCTGGCCACGGGGCAGGGGCAAGTCCTCACCTGATACCAGCCGAGAAGCTGACAACAGGGAAGAAGAGCCCATCCAGGTTGAAGGCCTCAAAGACGCCCTGCACAGGGCAGCCATTGATCCGGAAGGAGATAGATGGCACACTGAGGTCCAGGCAGCAGCTAACTACATCCTCAGGGGCCAGGAGGTGCTGCCCTGGAGATGTCACTGGGCGTGCCACGTGTCCTGCACCAGAGTCACAGGGAGAAATCAGAGATCAGAAACCTCATGGAATCAGTGATCTCAAGAGACAAGGAGCAGATATTACAGGGCCCAATGGGGACCGGATATTGGTAAACTCAAGGTCGGGTGTTCTCATGGAGAATCCTAGCCTTGAGATTAGGGACGGAGGTCAGCATTCCCCTGAGATTAGGATCCTAAGAGCTGTGGATCAGAGATTAAAGTACTCGTGGAGTTACGATCTTTGAATATTTGGTGTTAGAAGTCAAAGATCAGAGGTCATAATAATTGGGGACAGCTTCCAAAGGATCTTTAGGATTAGAGATCCCATTTCATCTGAGATCAGATACCTGAAGACTATGAAGTAACAGGTCAGAGAAGGGTCGTGGAAGCCTTAGGGTTAGGGCCTTGGGAAAAGAATAAAACAGCCAGGCTCCTTTGAGTTCCAGGGCCCTTGAGCCCCAAGAGGTTTAATCTAAGTCTTGGTAACTCTGAGATCAATGGTCATGAATGAGGGACTTATGGAATTTAGGGGTACAGACCAGAGATTAAGGTCCAGATACCTGTCCATAGATGCAGCCCATCAAAGCCATAGGAATAGAGGTCATCGCCAACTCCGTTGCCGCCCCAGCCCTCGCCTCCTCCGGGGTAGGGGCTGTAGCCTTCAGTGAGGGCCCAACCCACCCGCAGGTGAGTGGGCTGAGCTGTCAAAAACGGAACCACCTCATCCACCATCACTTCAAAGTACCACTTGCCATACTGTGTGGAACCCTCTGCTCGTCCCACAAAGATGTTAGGGCGGATGCTGCACGAAAAAGAAGCACAAGACGGGGCTGAGGGAGGCATAGTGGAGAGCCAGATGGTAGGGTAGGGAGCAGAGAGAGGGGCAGAGACAAAGTGGCACAGAGAGAAAGAGCACAAATAGAGAACGAGATACTAAGAGTGAGATCAAGAAGAAAGACAGGGAGAAAAGCAAACACACACACACACAGAGAAACAGGCAAAGTCAAAAAGAGAAATACAGACACAGAGAAAGAGGAAGGGAAGGAGGGAAGGAAGGAAGAATAAACAGGCAATGATGGTCCCAGGGAGAGAGGAAAAGAGGAGAGAGGCAATGAATGGGGAATGAGGAATAAACTGGAATGGGACAGGGCTCTTCGTTGAGGGATTACGCCCTGGATAACAGACAGTGGAGGGAGTCAGAGAGCGGATTGAAAGGTTCTGAGTTAACCTAGGATTGGGGTTCGGGCCCAGGGCCCAGACCTGGTAACATAGTTGATGAGGTTTGTCTGCAGCAGAAGTTCTCGGCCAGGGAGCAAGTTCTCCGTGATGAGGTCTTGGTTGGAACGCACAGCCACGCCGTTGCACACACACAGGGAGCACAGCACATCCAGGACCTGGAGATCAGAACCAGAGGTCAGGGCGGGAGGGTACCAGAGAAGGTCCAGGGCGAGAAATCAGAGGAAAGGATGATGTCGGGACAGGAGATGGAGACTTGGACGGAGAAGAGGCGGTCGAGGTGGGGAGTTTGGTGATCACAGAGAGGTCAAGGGAGAGGCTTTGGGGCCACATGAGGTGGGAGAAGGCACGAGTCGTGGAAGGAAACACTTGGATGACGAGGTAGGGGATGAGGAGATGGTTCGTGAACAACCACAAGGATCCAGATGAAATTGTAGATCACCTGGGCTGGCAGACGCACGCCGTAAGGTAATGTGTGAAGTGATTAGAGATCGTTCAAGAGGCACTGGCTGAACCCGTGGCAAACTGGAGCATGTGGATGCAGCCCAACTAAAGGCAGTGCAACGTGACAGCTAAAGCACCCCCGCGCATCTAAGAACAGCAAAGGCTGTTCCCAGAGCCATGAGTTCGAGACCCAGGGGCTGAGATGGACGTGCTGGGAGGAGTCCAGGTGAGGTGAGGAAGGGAAGGCAAGGAGTGAGGGCACCCTGGGGAGAAGCCAGAAGTCAAGCGTTCAGGGTGAGAGGTCAAGGGTGAGGGGACTGACCTTGTGGTTCCTCCCATGCTTGTCCAAGAGGGAGATGATGGATTTGATGTGGTTCTCCTGAATGATGTTCAGGACCTCAGGGCTCTCAATCAGGACGCAATACAACACCTCCAGGATCCCTGAGCACGCGGCGCCAAGGTGGGCGGTCAGAGAGCTGTAGCCCCACCCCCTTCCTCGAGCCCCGCCCCCTCACTCCCCCTGGGGTCTCTACCAGAGGAGGCCTCCAGTCGATCCAGCTTGCTGACCAGCCAGTCCAAGTTGGTGGAAAAGAGCGCACAGTTCGTGCGGTTGCCTCGGATCAGAGAGGCTGAGGGTGGAGAGTGGGGGAAGGGTGTCAGACCCCACCGAACTGGGGAACTGGTGTGCTGGAAGGGGAGTCCGGACGGGGGGTCCTTACCCAGGAGTTCATAGAGCAGATTCACAATCTCTTTCCAAGACTCAGCCGCCTCCTCCCCTGCAAACTCGGCAAAGTGGGCCGCAGTGGTGTAGACATTCAGACGGTCGATGCAATTCAGGACCAAGGAGAGCATCCCCTGCGGCGGGGAGGGAAGACAGGGCGGGCCCTTGGTTCCAGTTCACACAACAACTACTCACTGTGCGCGCTGGGCACTCCTGGGTCTAAACTAGTGATTCTCAACCTTCCTAATGCCGCGACCCTTTCATACAGTTCCTCATGCTGTGGTGACCCCCCAACCAGAAAATTATTTTCGTTGCTACTTCATCACTGTAATTTTGCTACTGTTATGAATCAGGTGACCCCTGTGAAAAGGTGGTTCGATCCCCAGCGGGGTCGCGATCCATAGGTTGAGCACCGTTGAGTCCAACCAAGCACATAAGCACGTGCAGAGAAAGGTCCTCATCATTCTTTTTCCTGGCTCCCCAAATCAGCCCTTGTCCTCTCCACCTCCACCCCTAACATAATACCCCCTTTCTAAGGACAGAGCATTCCTTTGCATTCTCTTTCACACTTCCTTCTTCCAGGGAAGTGAGAGTCCCATCTCCTGGCTCCAAATGATCCCCATGCCCCCTTCCCCATACCCTCTGCTCCTCCCTCAAGGCCCCACCCAATAAGGCGGCCCCGCCCAGTAAGGAGGCCCCTCCCTTCTCCTCATAGGTAGGCCCCGCCTTCCTCACACATGCTCCCCATCCCTGCTGTCCTCCCAGTTCCCACTTCCCTCGGCCCGCCCCGCCCAGGCCCCGCCTGCCTGGCGGTCGCCCCACCTCTTCCTGGAAGAGGCTCTGGCGGTTCCGCAGACTGCGAAGCTTGGTCTGCTTCTCCTCGTGCTGCAGCTCCTCCGACGGCGGCTCGAAGTAGCCGATGAGGTCCTGCAGGCTCAGGATGACGCCCTCAATGGGCAGCGCCGTGCCAGCCGGGGGCCCGGCACCCCTCGGTTTCCCGCTGAAGCTGTCCAGGCCCCTGCAAGGATGGCACTGCTGTCAGGCTGGGGGCTGGGGGTTGTCCGCCTGCCTGCACGGCCACCCCCCCCTCCCACGAGCCCCCTTCCGGCAGAACCACGGAGGGCAGAGGCCGGGATCATCCGATGGCCAGGAGCAGCGCTGGGACTGAGAGGCTCCTGTGCAGACACAGGGGTCAGGGCGAGGATGACCCCCGGCCAGAGGTCTAGAGATCGGAGATGTGAAAGTTCGCCGAGCAGGACAGTGGGGCCAAAGGTCAGCTTGGGCGTCACGGGTTTACAGCGAAGCCGTTCCGAGGGATGCAAGTCAGGGGGGGCGGTGGATGGAGGTGGAAGAGTCAGGTGGATGGGTGGACGGCAGGGCGTGGCTCACTTGATGAAAAGGTTGTAGAGGCCCGCGGTGCTGTAGATCATTCGGGCAGCCTGGGACTCCGCCTGCTGACATCGGGACATGGACAGCGCATCGTCCATGTGGCCTTCCTGGTGCAGCATGGCCTGGGGGGTGGGAACGAAGAGGTCAGGACAGGCCCCTGAGACCTCGACTCAGACCCTCACCGACTCAAGACTCTGCCTGGCTCTTCCTCTCTCTGTTTCTTTCTTTTCTGGTTCCAGAGCCCGGTGCTGTGGTGGGGGAAGTGTTGGCAGTTCTAAGCCCACCAGGTGCCCTGCGGGAGGAAGCTGCGGCTGTCTACACTCGCAGAAACTCTCTGGGGGCAGTTCTACTCTGTTCTATCAGGTCACTATGAGCTCAAATTGACTCGATGGCAGTGGGTCCGGGCTTAGCATTCACTGTTTCTCTCTTTGCCTTCCTCTTTGTCTGTCCCTCACTGTGCTCTCTGTCTGTCTCTGTCCCTCGCTGTCTTTTTCTCCCTCTTTCTCATCTCTAGCCCAAACTCTCTTTCCCACTTGGGTCTCTCTGCTATCTTCCTCCCCCCCCTCCCCCACCCCACCCCCCGCCCCCCTTCTCACCAGTCTCCTGGCCAGGCCCTTTCCACCTGAATCTACTATTACTTTTACATCTTCTCCCTCCCAGAATGCTCTACGCAGGGGTGCCTCAATGCCAACATGGCCACAGAATGTCTGAGCACCTTTCTGGCATGAGATCATCACCTTGTCGAGGTGACCTGAGAGGACCTCTATCAGTTACAAATACCATCTTTTATGGGTTGAATTGGGTCCCCCGGAAATGGTATTGAGGACCCTAATCTCTACACCTGTGGCTCCAGTCCCATCTGAGAGTGGGCTGTCTTTGTTATGCTAACTAGGCAGTTTGAGTCTGTCCTATGGGGGTGAAGGTGGAGTGTGCCACCAGGGAATCTCTTTTGAGACATAGAAGAGAATAAATAAGCACATGAAAGAAGCAGAGATCCCAATCCACATGGAGTTGGTTCCAGAGCAGAAGCTCAAAAGAGACAAGGACCTGCCTCCAGAGTCAATAGAGCGAAACCCTTCCCCTACACCCATTGTCCATGGAGACAAGATTCTGCACCCTGCTTTGGTGAGTAAGCCACTGGGGTCTTGGAGGCTCATGGGCAGCCCTCTGGGGTGCTACTACTGGTCTCTCCCTCTCTGGAAACAAAACGAGTAAAGAGAATCAGGGACAGATGGAAACAGTTAATCCAACGGACTCATGGACCATGTGGACATCAATCTGCAAGACCTTGAGACCAGAAGAACTAGACGGTGCTGGCTACTAGTATCAACTGCTCTGAAAGGGACCACATTAGAAGGTCCTGGAGAGAGTGAGAGAAAGGATGTGGAACAAGACTCAAATCATAAAAAAATGAGCGGTCTGACTGGTAGGATAGAGACCGGAGGAACCCCTAAGACTATGGCCCTTCGTCCCCCTTCAGATCTGGAAATGAACTCACTCCCATGGCTCAACTGTCAGCCAAACCATGGGCTGAACAATCACACTAGGGCTGTACAAACACGTTAGCATAATCGGCCATTTAAATTCACAAGGCAAGCATTTACCCAAGGGCAAAGCCCAAGAGGGTTGGGAAAGAGAGGAGAGGAGATGGGAGGCAGAGGAAGGAAGAAGGACGGGCGATGTCACCCTGTGGGGACTGCAAGGCATGGGATGACACAGAACCCAGGAGGCGTTGAATGGAATACCGATCTGCTCTGGAGACCTTCACCCAATTCACAACCAAAGGTTTTTGAAAAACCTGTATGAGACCAAGAAGTCAAGCATGACGCTAAAGATAAGATATGGGGGGGGGGGCAGGGAAACTCGAACACTGGAAAAGGAACCATCAGAACACAAAGAGAAGGGGGGGCGCATTGAGGAAAAGGTGCCCCGTGTCGCTGAAAAATCTGTGCAATGATGCTCAACTGGGGAGCTAATCTACTGTGTCCACTTTCGCTGGAAACGCTCAAATATTGTTTACAAAATCATAGTACCATCCTTCACCTCCACCCCAATATCCAATCAATTAGAAAATCCTGTTGCTCCCACCCTCAAAATACAGCCAGGATCTGACCCCTTCTCCCCCTCCACAGCCCTCACTCAGGTCCCGTTCACCGTGGTCTCCCACTTGAACCACTGTAGCATCCTACCCACTTAGCTCCCTATTTGTCCCTCCTACACTCTGTTCCCATGGACAGCCAAGGACTTTGCGAGTCCCTGAATTGGATCATGTCCCTCTTTTGCTCAAAACACCCCCATGGCTCCTCCTTACTCGGCACCACCTGCCCTCAACAGTTCCTGCCACTTGCCCCTGACTTGCTCTGCTGCAATCACCCTGAGGGTGCTTTCTGGTAGTGCGTTAAGTCACGTTTATACCAACCCCAGGACCTTTGCACTGTTGTCTCCTGTGTCCAATGAGCTTTCCCATACCTCTAGAATAAAACCAGTTGCTTCCCAAAGGACCTTTGATTCGCCATGTCTCTTTTTACTCCCCAAACACCGAGGACAAGTTGATTCATCACTGGTGGCATGGTGATTATGTGTTGGGCTGCGAACCTCAAGGTTAACAGTTCAAAACCACCATGGGAGAAGGGTGAGGCTTTCTACTCTCATCAAGAGTTACCGTTTCAGAAACCTACTGGGGCAGTGCTACCCTGTCGTATAGGGTCACCATGAGTCAGAGTTGACTCAATGGCAGCAAACTGTTCAGTTTAATGGTTTGTCGGATGTTATGCTCACTCTGTCACTATCTGTCTCTGACTCCATTTTTCTGCTTCCATGTCTCCCCGAGTTTCTGTCTCTCCTTCCCTCTCGCTCACTGTCTCTTCCCTTTGCTGTTGCCTATCTCTCCCAGACTCCCTCTCCCCAGCTTTCTCACAGCACCTGTCTACAAACCTGGAAATCTCACCATGCCTGCCACCCCCTTCTAGCTCCTGCCCACACCCCTGCCTCTCCCCTCCACCAGGCACCCACCTTTCTCTTGAGCACGCCAAGTCGCAGGGCCTTGGGGTCCGGGGCGGCATAAGTGAGCCACAGGCCGGAGCCCACATGCTGCACGAAGCACAGTGACTCGCCATACTTGATCTCAGGTGGCCCCATGCCCTCCACGTCCCTCTTGGGGGCCACGTCTAGCTTTTCCTACAGGGCCAGAGGACAGAGGTGAGCTCCCTCCATGCTGCGTGAGGGACACGCGGGTACTTGGGGCTCCAGACCAGGGAGGTCCCACTGAGCCCCGGACCTTGGAGATGCGGAAGCAGAAGGAGGTGGCCTTGGTGTGGGCCTTGCTGGCGTCGACCACCACCAGGCCCTGGTCCTCAGTGAGGCCCAGGTACCGCCCTGTGGTCACGTGCCGGATGCGGAGAGGCTGGCCCCAGCGCAGGTGGCTCCCGCTCCAGCTGCAGAAGGTGAGGGGGAGGAGACAAGGACTTCAGCCTTCCGTGCCCACCGAAGCCTGGGTCCACAGCTGTTCGAGCCCCCAGCAGTCCTCCAGGGGGCTCCATCTTCCTCTAAGCCCCCAAATCTCCCTCCATAAACTCAATCCTCTTGGCCCCCCAAAGATTCCTGTAGGTGCCCCAACTGCCTCCAGTGGCCCCAGTCTTTCTAGGCTCTTCCTCTTCTCTTTGCCAACTCCCCACACTTTCAGTCTCACCCTCAGGCCTCCCTCAGGGACCCCCAATCCTCCCCTTCAAACTTCCCATTTTCTCCAGACTCCAGGATCCCTGAAAGCATCTCTCTCTTGGAATTCCTAGAATTTCTTTCCAAATCCCCCAGTCCCTTCCTCAAATCTTCCTTCAAGATCCTTCCCCCCACTCCCCAGCCCCAGGCTCGCCTCTCTGCGCCTCACCTGATCCTCAGAGGCTCCAGCCTCCAGAGGGAGCGGGCGTGGGTGCACACAGCACCTCCCTCGTAGTGGACAAGCCTAGGGACACGGAGACACAGAGCTCCCTGCTGACCATCCATTCATTCCAGAGTACCCAGAGGCTTCCCACTCCTCAATCAACCTTTGTCCCCTGCCATCCAGACCCCAGGGACCCCTTGTCCCCAGCCCAGACCTGCGCTGGTCTTCACTGTCAGCAGGGGAAATGGTCAGACATTCATCCATGTGCCCATGAAAGAGGCGGAGGACGTGACCCCCCGTGACGTAGCCTGGAAGGAGAAAGGGAAGGCAGGCATTGGAAGGTTCAGGGGCAAAGCTGAAGTCTGGATGCCTGGCTCCTCCCGTTGTGAGACTCTCAGGGCTGCGTTTTGATGTTTGAAGTGATGGGTCTTAGGATTAGGGGTCTAGTCATGGAGGTTTCAGAGTACAAAGTGGTAACATGAGATTTGAGGTCAAGTATGAGACCTGAAAGGGGGCATGAGATTTGGTGTCTGAGGTTAGGGATGTAAGTTTGGGGCTGGGGGCTGGGTCTGCAGGGCTGAAGCTGGGGGATGTGGGGCATTGTGAGTTTGTAGAGCGAAGTTTGTGGCACCCACCTAGTAGTTTGTTGTGCTGTGGTCCCTTCCGTGCTTTTGTGATGCTAGAAGCTATGCCTCCAGTATTTCAAATACCAATAGTGTCAACCAAGCTAGATAGGTACCAGTGGAGCCCCAGGCAGTGAGCCTTCTGAATTAGAAGGTGCCCCCACAGTGGCTGCAACAATGGGTTCAACCATGGCAGTGATCTTGACAATGATACCAAACTAGACGATGTTTTGTCTCATACAGAAGGTCATCGTGAGCTGGAGTCAATTCAATAGCAACATATAACAACAACAGGTGTGCGTCTAACGACGGCTCTCAATTTGTATGATGGAGGTTAGAGCTCAGAGTATATGGTCAGGGATACGAGTCTAAGACTCTAAATTGATCGGGGTCAGGTTTTTAGGGCATAACCCTTAGAGAGACTGGGTTGAGAGGTGTAATGGTTGGGTCTGAAGTTTGGGATTTGAATTTAGGGCCTGAGTCTTGGGTTTGAGGGGATTGAGGCTGAGATCTGAGCTTTAGGGTACCCCTTTTGCAAAGTCAATATCTTATCGTTTGAAGCGGGTGGGTCTGAGCATCAGAGTCTGGGATTTATTAAGGTTTACGTTTGGGGATCTGTGGTTTTGAGTCTCAGGTTGGGTTGTGTGGTAGTTGGATGATTTGTCAACTTCAAATTTTATGAAAACACAGGGGTGGAGTCCAGCCTGATGGTGCCTTGTAGGGGGTGTGGTCTTCATATAAGAAGAAACCAGGAACCTCCCTCTCTCTGCCCCTCTGCCTTCCTGCCTGCTGGAATTCTGCCTGCCTCCAGGGGCAGCCCCTGTGAGCTGCCCGACCCTGAGAGCTGTCAGTATTCTGCATGTTCCCACCGACCGTGGATCCATGAGACTCTGCACCCACCAGCCTGCGATCTTCCTACTTCACTGGCCTTCAACTACCTGAGTCTAGCCTCCAATTTATGGACACAAGTGGGACTGGGCTGGGATGCCTTCTTGGTATATAATTATCTCTTGATATAAATAAAGCTCTTTCTTATCCATATGTGAATGTCACTGGATTTGTTTCACTAGACCGTCTAGACTAACACAGGCTGCTTTGTTGGGGGGGCTTTGAAGGGGGTGGTGTCTAAGATTTGGGACCTAGATGTTGGGGTTTTGCATCTGGGGATTTGATTCGGAGAGTTTGCTTTTTGTGGATGGGGCTTTGGGGTAACAGCTGGAGGTCTGCAGGAGGTGGTCTGAAGCCTTCTACATGAGGGTCTTGGAATGGGAAGTTTGCATTTGGGGATATGAGATGGTGGTCCACGCTTGTGGCCTCTGGAGTTTGGTTTGCAAAGTTCTGGGACCCAAATGTACAGCTGTTACCTCCAGGCTGGGAGACCGGTCCATGAGCTTTGGGGATAAATCCTTTGGGATCTGAGATCGGGAGTCAAACACTGAGTTCTGGGTTTGGGAGTCTGAATTTGGGGCTTCTGGACTAGGGTGACACTCAGAGGTCTCAGTCGCGCGGAGGCAGACTTGGGAGAGCTCGGTTTGGGGGCCTAGGGTTATCAGTGTTCGGGGTCCTCACCCTCTTCGCAGCGGGAGCAGATGGGGTTCATGTTCCACAGCGTCTGCATGAAGGAGGCGTCCACCTGGAGCTCGCCGCTGGCTGTCGACAGATGCTGGGGGACAACCAGCAGGTGGCGTCAGAGGGGCGGAAGGGGCGGGGCTAGAGGCTCGGCGTCAGAGGCCGGAAATCAAAGCTGGGTGTGCCGGAGACCACGGTGGACGGCGGGGAGTCCGCAGACAGGGAAGTCAAGGTCCCGTTGGGCAATGGGGGGGGTCAGAGTTCAAGAGCAGAGGACGCCCCCCCATCTCGTGCTGAGAGAAGTTGCCCTGGCCGGGAACTGGGGCCGGGAGGGGGTGGGGTTGCTCACCAGGTAGCGCTCAGAGGAGACGCTAACGAGGATGAGGTCATCTCCCACACGGACCTTTTCCCCTTCTGACCTCTGCTTGGAGGCTGGGTGCATCGTCCACCAGCAGGCTTCACCTGGGGGGCGGGGGTTGGAGGGGGGGCAGGCAGTGGGGTGTTAGACGACAGGTCCCAGAATGCTCTTCCCCAGGGCATTGCCAGCCCCAGAGCCTGCCAAGTGCTGTGCCCCCTCCCCCGCTTCCCCGAGGCCCCCAACGACTGCCTAAAACGTACCGCTTCCTGCCCCCAGACCTTTGCCTGCTGATCCCCTCTGCCTGCCAGTCTCCCTGACCACTACGCACCCGGCACCCGTCTACGCCCCTGGAGGCGAGCCCCAGACCCCGGGTCACTCCTCTGCCCGCAAGCCCACGAGCCCTGCACCTGTAGCGTCCTCCTGCAGTCCCACATCGAAGGCCAGCTTGTCCGTCAAGGAGCGAGAAGTGGTGAGGCAGCTCAGATACTAAGGTTGTAGGCGGGAGGGGGCCGTGTCAGCCTGCTGGCTCCTGAACCAGCCATCTCCCCCCTCCACGAACCCCTCGGCCCCTCCTACAGTCCCCCTTTCCAGACTCACCATGCGGCTGTGGGCGTGCCGGAGCAGGATGGCATGGCCATACAACAGCGTCCTGTGTCCCCCACCCTGGGACGACTAGTGCAAGGGTAGGGGTGGAGGAAGGGCATATTGTGAGCACAGACCCCTGGACTCTCAAGACCCTCCCCCAAGGCACCTAGAGTCATTATTGAGGGGCTCTTTCTTGCTGCCCATAAAATACCAGGCACGGCCTCAGAGGTTAAAAAAAAAAAAAAAATCACCTCCGTTGAGACCCCCAACTTGATTTTCTGCCTCCGACTCCCAGTTCATCAGACCAGGGGCGATGTGAGTACGAAGCTTGTGGATGGGTCATTTCATATTCCCCAGGGCCCATTCTCACCTCCTTCCTTCCACCATTTTGTTGGCTGGGCCCAGAAGCCATGCAGGGAAGCAGAGCCCCTCCTCCAGGCACCGGGGAATGCTCAAGAAAGGCCCTGAATTTGGTGTTTCCTGAGGCCTCCCTAACTTGTGAAACCCAGCTGAGGCACACACGCCACTACAGTCCACCCCTTGTCTGCTGTTCCACTGTCCCCTGTGGAGATCTGCAGGCTGTACGTTCCCTTGTGCTGGGACCTCCTTCCGGAGTACACAGAGACCTGGCCCCTCAGGACGTCAGGGACCGCCCAGCAGTCTGATGACCTCATGCCTCTCCACACACACATGCCCATGCTGAGGGTGCCATGTGACAGTGCCCCCTGATCGCATGGCAGGCCCACTCCTGGGAGGACATCCACACTTGGGATGGGAGAACAGGAAGAGGGAGGTCCCATGCTGGGACAAGAGTGGGGGAAAGGATGAGGAAGAGGAGAATGAAGAACAGAGAAGGACGGAGTTCATGGGGGCTTGGAAGCCCCCCGCCACCTTCCTTCCTTCCTTCTTTCCTTCCTTCCTTCCTTCTTGCCTGCCTAGCCTGTCCTGGGCTCCACAGCCCTGGACAGCAGGGGTGGGGGAGACCCCCTTCGGTCCCTGTGTGCAGGAAAGTGGGCCCAGAGACGGGCCTGGGGCCAGGAAGGACAGGTGACACCCAGGGTCTGACCTACCCACTTATCCAAATTGAGGGCCTGTGGGGCAGGGTGGGGGGAGAGAGGAAGAAGAGCAGATGGTGAAGCAGCCCAGTCCACCCTCCCTCCCTGTGCCTGCCCTGCCCCTGCCCCTGCCCCTCACCCCACGTGGGGCCTCACCTCCACACCAGCCTCCACCGTGTTGGCCAGCATCTCCTGCAGGGCCCGCACAGACAGCGACTGCTCCAGCACAAAGCAGCAGATAGCCAGATCAGGTGGAACATTCTGGGTGGGGCAATGAGAGGCGAGGGCACACTTGAAGACCCACCCTCAGGACCATTCCCTGGAACCCCTCCTGGCCCTGGTCTGAACCCCCATGCCCCTTAGACATCACGCCCTCCACCGCCCCCCTCAGACACACCTTCCCTCCACTCCTAAGGACCCCTAAGGCTTGTGCTTCCAGTCTGTTCCAACCCTAGGGCTTGCAAGCTGGAAAGCAGCCTGCTGCAACTTCCCCCACAGAGCAGCTGGGGGCTCACAGCGCCCACCTTCAGGCAGCGCAATTGCCCACTGCACTACCAGGGCCCCTCGCCCTCGCCCCCCAAAGTTCATAGAAGACTGTATACTCCCCTCCCCACTCAGACCCTAAGCTCACAGGAAGGCCCAACCCTATGCCTTCCCCTTCAGACATGCTGCACTTCTTCCAACTCCTGCCCAATGCCTCCCCCTTCAGAGAGCCCCTCTCCCCTCCAGTTCCTGAGGAAGTCCCACCTCCCGCCTCCAACATCAGGTAGTCCCTGCTCCTGCCTTCTCCCAGAGACTGCTTCAGCACACGGAGGAATTCTGATTTCTCCCTCTTCAGACCCCCCTCCCTGTCACCCCAGATTCCTCCAGACCCCTCCTTTGGGTGTGTCTCTTGCCCCCCCCTTACAATCTCCCCCCAGATACCTGTTCACTCCGACTTTCAGGCTCCCGCCCTCCCTCCCCCCTTTCCAAAGTCTCCTCTCTCTCAAATCTTGGGTCCACCTCATTCTCCGGCCCTGTGTGCCCTCAGACCTCAGCTTCCTACCACCTCTCAGTCTCCAGCCACGTCCCCAGGGAGCTCTGCTGCGATCACCCTCCTCACCCCCAGGTTGTCTTCACCTTCAGTCCAACACCCTCAGGGATCTCTGCCTTCTCCAGGTCACCGGGCCTTTCCCCTTGGGAACCCCAAGCCTCACACCTCCGAACCACCTCTTACTCCCTGAGCCCCGACTCCTCTCTGTGCCTCCCTGTCAAAGTCCTCCCTCTAAAACACCCAGGGCCCCTCCCTCCTCAGACCCAAGGCCTCAGGCCCCTCAAAGACCCTGCCCCTGCCTCCTGAGAGCTCCAACATCTACTTTCTAGAACCTTCCCATGGACTCAGGCCACCTCCTCCTTGGATGGAAGACTTCCTGCCCCCTCCAGTGGCCCCCTTTTTAGCCCACTAGACTCCCAGACCCTCCCTCCACAGAACCCTAGCCCTCTCTCCCTCGTAGCCCTCAATCTCTCCAGTCAGTACCCCCACCCTCCAAACCCAGAGCCCTCTTCTGCGGACCCAAGACTCCGGCACCCTGGGGCTCCCTCCCTGGTCCACAGGCACAGACCTGGGCATTGCTGGTGGGTTCCAGGAAGCAGAGCCGGTTCCCGAAGCCCTCGGCGGCCAGGCACAGCTTCAGCTGCTCCTTGAGCACGGTGGCATTGCACTGTAGGACCACTTCGTCCTCCTGCGGGTGGGCACTGAGCGTCAGGGTCCATCTGGCCCCTCACCCCACCCTTCCCAGTCTGAAAGCATCGCCACCGTGTGTCTTCCAGTCGATTCCAGCTCATAGTGGCCTGACCGGACCGGGTTGAATTGCCCATACGGTCTCCTAAGCTGTCATCCTTATGGGAATAGATCACTGGGTCTTTTCATTTCTCCCTGTAGAGCAGCTGGTGGGTTCGAACCACCAACGCTTCCTTCCCATCCCCAGCCAAGCACTAAACCATCGCTCCTCTAGAACTCTTTAGGGAAAGAGAAACCAAAATCCCGCTGGCAAGGTGAAGTTGATTCAGACTCATAGTGAGTCTTTGTGGAATTTCCAAGGCTGTGAAAAGAATAGCAAGAGAGAGCCTGGTGGTATAGTGGTTAGGCGTTAGGCTGTGATCTGCATGGTCCCCAGTTCAAAACCACAGCAGAAAGATGGCTTTCTACTCCCATAAACAGTTACAGCCTTGGACAAGGGGGTCACTATGAGTCAGCGTTTACTCAATGGCAGTGAGTTTGGGTTGTGTTGTGTTATTGTTGTTGTTGTTGTTGTTGTTTAAATCTTTACAGGAGCAGGCAGATCACCTCAACTTTCTCCCAAAGAGCAGCTGGTGGGTTTGAACCACAGATGTTACAGTTAACAATCCAACGCTTACCTGGACAGCGCCACCAGGGCTCCTCAGCTATTAATAATAGCCACCTCACCCCAATATATTGAGCCAAGGCCTGTGCTGAGTGCCACAGAGACCCCTAGCAGCCCCCTCAGATAGAAGCTGTTTTCACGTGGAGAAAATGAGGCCCGGGAAGGGTATTGCTTCCCCAAGGCCACCCAGCTGTAAGAGAAGGAGCTGCCATTTGAACCTGAGTCTGACCGACACCAGACAGGGCTTCCAAAGATGACCCAGTGAAAGGTGGACTAGCATCTCCATTGCTTTTTAAACCCATCCTTGTCTCAAATACAGTTTTTATGCATTATTGAAATAATTGCTAGCCGCTCTGGGGAAGTTGTTGGAGAAACATTGGTGGCTAGTGACAAGGTCCTTGGTCCAAACCCACCAGCGCATCTGTGGAAGAAAGGTGAGGCTGTCAATTCTCCTAAATATCTACAGCCCTGGACCCTCTGGGTAGGGTCGCCCTCTGTGGAATTGGCTCAAGGGCAGTGGCTTGGCTTGTTCTAGTGACACCTGACTGCAATGCAAGACCCAGGAGTCGATCCCGAACCGGAGGGACAGGGGGTAAAGGGCACTCTGGAGACGCCCCTTGCCGGCAGGTGAATCAGATCATCCTGGTCTCTCAGTACTAACTGTTCTGATTTGAATCACGGCACTGCGGCTTTATAAAAGAGACTGTTTTGTTTTGAGGAAACACAAAAGATAGTGTGGGTTGAGTTGGGTCTACCAAAGGTACCTGTTATGATGCCTGACCCCCAGACCTGTGCTCATAATCCCATTGGGTTTTTTTTGGTTGTGTGAATGAAGCAGTCATAATGTAGGATGTCTTTCTTTTCTTTTCTTTTTTTTTTAAACATTTCATGGTGGGTGCTTACAGCTCTTGTAACAATCCACACATCAATTGTACCGAGCACATTGGTACATGTGCTGCCGTCATCATTTTCTAGACATTTATTTTCGATTGAGCCCTTGATGCCAGCTCCCCCCCACCTTGTGACCCCCTTGATAAATGATAAATTATTATTATTTTCATATCTTACAACGACTGCTGTCTCCCTTCCCCCATGGTTTCTGTTGTTCATCTCCCCCACCCCCGGGGCGGGGGCGGTTATGTGTCAATGATCTCGATCGGTTCCCCCTTCCTCCCCTCCTCTCGCCTTCCCCTGCCCTTCTGGTATCGCTACTCCCATTAGGGTGTGTCTTCAACGCATCTCGTTTGACAGCTGAAAGAGCAGAGCAGTCCATCCCACGGTGACGGACGAAGGTCAATGTCGAGCCACACGAAGATCGACAAGGGACCCAGCAAAAGAAGCCCACAGGACACAAGGACCCCAGAGCCGACAAAGAGCCCCTTCCTCTAGAGCTGGCCCCCTCAATTTAGACTTCTGGCCTCTGAAACAACGAGGAAACGCAGTTGTTTGTTAAATCCATCCACCATCTGTCAAGGGCAACACTCAGGATAAACCAAACCCAGGCTCACTGCCCTTGAGTAGCTTCCCACTCACACAGGACAGGGGAGAGCTGCCCCAGTGGGGCTCCGAGGCTGAGACTCTTCCAGCATAGAAAGAGCCTCCTCTTTCTCCTTCAAAGCAGCTGTGGTTTCAAATCGCAGTTGGCAGCCCGCACGTGACCACCGTGCCAGGAGGGTTGCCATTACAGCAGCGCTCGAGAGCAGGCGCTGCCTAATGGAGTGTCGGGTCCTGCCTGAGCAGATACCCCACAGTGTGGAAGTGGTTTTGGAAGTGAGCGGGTGGAGGCTGGATGAATTTTAGGGTGCTTCAACCCTGGTGTCATAGTGGGTCTTGCAGCTGTTAGCTGCGAGGTCAGCAGTTTGAAATCGCTCTGAGGGAGGAAGAGGAGGCTTTCTGCTTCCTGAAAGAGTGACAGTGTTGGAGGCTCTCGCTCTGACCCTCCTGCGGGCCGACACCCACAGTCTCTTCTTCAGGATCCCCAATACTTTTGCTATTCTTTCAAAACCCAGAGCCATCAGTCGATTCTGACTCATGGTGACTCCCTCGGGCAAGGGAGCTGCCTCTAAGAGCTCCCGACACTGCCACTGTCCTGCTCTCGAGCGCTGCTGTAATAGCAACCCTCGTGGCACGGTGGTCATGTGCGGGCTGCCCACTGCGATTTGCAACCACAGCTGCTTTGAAGGAGAAAGAGGCGGCGTCCTCTTCCTGTCCTATAGGGCCGCTGTGTGAATTGGAATTCTGTTGTATGAACTAAAGGCACCACATGACCTAGAGGTTTCCATGATGCCTGTGGCCGATGGAGCTAATCAACCTGCACCACAGAACACCCACCCGTTCCGACAGCAGTGGGTCGAGGCAGGGTGGAAGGGCAGGGCAGCAGGGTGGAAGGGCAGGGCAGCAGGGTGGAAGGGCAGGGCAGCAGACTTCCACGGGAAGGAAGGAGACCATGGAACTACATGGGGGTTGTCCTCCAAGAAACCCAGTGGAGAGCTAGATCAGCAGTACAGTTGGCAGGAGCCTGGCTGCCTAGACTTCCAAGAGGGAATCTCAGGCCTTCTAGGTCTGCAGCATACAGGGGCTCTGTTTCAGAGTCAGGCCTCCACAAACCTGGGTCTGGAATACAGGGCTCCTCCAAGAAGATGGAGCCCCCCCCCCCCCAACTGCCAAAGCTGAAGAGGTGGAGCTGTCATGTCCAAGAGGCAGGACAATGGCACCCACTAGGGACGTAAGAAGTCACAGGAGCCATCCCTTACATGGGGCCAGGGCGAAGAGTCCTCCAGCCAGAATCCAGAGAGCAGGGTCATTGCCCAGTGGTCCTGGAGAACTGGGGGCAACTGTCCAATCCTGAGAGTTCCTGTCATTTGTTTTAATGGGATTTGGACTTGTTTGGTGCCCGTTATCCCTTCTTGACCTCGGTTTTCTCCAAATCATAATAGACATGTCTGCCTTCTGCCTGTCCCAGTACTGTACTCTGGAAGCAGATAATCTCTATTCTAGATTTCACAGGCTCACAAATGATGGAGAATTTTGCCCCAGGTAGAAGAGGCCTCGAGTTGCATGCATATCTGATTCAGATGATTCATGAGATGAGGTGTAGGGCTTAAAGTTGATTTAAGATTTGGGGGACAGAAAGATGAAGCAAACATAGAGATCCTGAAGGGCAGAGTAGAATCTGTGCCCGCGGGTTTCTGAGACTGTAACTCTTGATGGGAGTAGAAAGCCTCATCTTGCTCTGATGAAGTGGCTGGTGGTTTCCAACTGCTAATCTTGGGATTCTCCGTTGGAATCACCTCAGTAGCAGTGAGTTTGGTTTAGTTAGTGTGTTTGTTTGCTTATTTTATGATGAGGTCAATGTATTCTGGATGTAGGAAGGTATGTTAGTTGCATAATCTGTTGTCAATTTAAGAGGGGTGGAGTTTAACCTGTCAATCAGGTCGCAGCTGGGTGACCTCATTTGGAGCCCTAAGGAGATAAATAGCTCATTGGAGACGGGACACACCCAGTGAGACAGTCCTGCTGAGAAGACACATGGAGCTATGCTAGAGCCCTGGAGCTGAAGGAACCATGTGGAGACCCCTGCCAGTGCTGAGATGCTTCCACTGCTACTAGATCCACAAGACTTTCCACCCACTGGCCTGTGACCTTCCTCATTCAGAATTATTGGATATGTTGCATGGATCTGAAGAGGAATTTACAGATTGGTATCGGACATATGGGCTAATATCAGATTTAAGGACTTAATCTAGACTGGGCTGGGATATTTTCTTAATGTACAAATGCTCTTTGATATAAAGTTCTCTCTTATATACATGAAGTCTCTCTAGATGTTTCTCTAATCTACCCAGACTAACACAGAAGGATATAAATTTGGAGGAGCCAAAGAGTCGAATATTATATATTGAATTGTGTTCCCCAAAGAGATGTTATACAAATCCAGACCCCTAAACCTGTGGTTATATAATCACATTCAGGAATGAGTTTCCTTTGTCATGTTAATGAGGTGGCACTGATATAGGGGAAAAAACCCAAATCAAATCCACTGGCCTCAAGCCCCATCGCGGGTTTCTGAGGCTGGAAATCATCACGGTCGCAGACAGCCTCATTCTCCAGTAGGGACAGCTAGTGAATTTGAACTGCCGATCTTGCAGTTAGCAGCCCAGCACCCTATCCACCAAGGACTCTGCTCTCTCTTTGGATAGAAAAGAGCAGATGAAGCCAGCTAGCCAGCCGAAATGAAGGCTGATAGACACCAGGCCACGAGAAGGTCACCAAGGAGCTAAGCTGAAAGGAGACAAGGACACTCCTCCAAGGACAACACCCACTGGGAGCACGTGTAC